GGAGCAGTGGGCGGGTCAGGAGAGGTCTGCCACGCCATGTGGATCTCCTCCAGGGCAGGCGGGAATCGAACTCATGCGGAAGTAGCTTTGGCTTTTTAGTGCTGTGCTTTAACCCGCTGCGCCACCAGGGAGGGCCCCAGCTCACTTCTTTTTACTTGATAGAGAGCCTGTCCCACTAGTTATCCTTGCCTTTGATAACATGTTTGATAAAATGAAGTCATACCAGTGCTGGCTTTGGTAGTCTCACAGAGAGTCAAAGTTCTGGAGTCAACAGAGATCTGACTCCACCCCCATAGAAAGTTAAAAGGCATGGAAGGGTCGGGACCCCTCATCAAACCAAAAGATGAGGTTGGCTCTCGCTATGTCTAGAAACTCTTTCCTACACTTGAAGGCTGGGACGCCCAAAAGTTCGATCCAGGCAATGGATAGGAAGGCTGAGTTGGCATTAAGAGATGAAAACAAGTGGCAGATGGTTCTGTGGAACATCCCAGAACTGAAGAAATGTGGTACCCAGAAAGGGAAAAGGAAGAAGACATTGGCAGAGTCATACTCAGCAACTGTGACAACCTGGCCAGGGAAAGCCAAGAACACATTATGGTATCAGGAATACTTTTGAGCTCAGACACTCACTGTTCTGTCACCTCTTCTCGTGCCCCATCCCCCGAATAAATAGCTTTGGTGGCCAAGCTGGACTGGTCAAGAATGTCAGGGAATGGAAGAAATAAGCAAGAGGTCCCAGAAACCTGAGCAACTGCTCCCTATGGTCAGGCTTTTTCCTGGATTATAAGTAGTGAGCAGAGGCTCTTGGGAGTGCAGCCCCAGACTGCCAAGTCAGTGGAACATGGGGACATGGGGGCCAGGTGACTTGGGGTATGTATGGCCTAAGCCGTTGACCTCTCCCAGGTGCTGGAGGTGGTGCGAGCCAACTATGACACGCTCACACTGAAGCTGCAGGACGGCCTGGACCAGTATGAGCGCTACTCAGAGCAACACAAAGAAGCTGCCTTCTTCAAGGAGCTGGTGAGTCTGCCCACTCCATCTCTGCCTGTGTCTCTGGAGGGGGTCCTTTTCCAGTCACCAGGTGGATGTTCAATCAGGAGGGTGAACATCTAGGGAGCAACAGCATTTTGCCAAAGGCTGACGGAATGAGACTTAAAGGCCTGCTGGATCGGCCATTTAACTTCTCTCCCCAAACAGGCCAGGTTAGGGAGCTGGGCTCAGGGTGTACTGGGCCAGGCTGGGGAGGGTGCACTGCTCACCTCTCTTCATCAGCCACCAAGATGGTGCTTGCTAAGCTCCAGCCGGACTGGGGTTTGACATCAGCAACTTTGGCTCCCTATCTTGTCCTCAGAGCAATGAGCGAGAGTCAACATCTCTTCTCCCTATGCAGTTACTTCTTGGCCAGTTCCTCAGTGGCTCCTGATGTGCATGCATTCCCATTCTAGTTGTATAATCTTCACTCCCTGCCCATACTCCCATTTTTCCTCGGCCCCTACACTTGGCCAGTAAACATTTGCTCTGTGCAGACTGCAGTTCCATCTCTAAACACATTCTCGCCCAAGAAAGGAGAGAAGGGAGAGTTAGGACACTAGAAATGCATCTGAAAAGTGGTAACTCTAGAGCATGAGCCCTCAGGCCTCAGTTTCTCCTCCATCAAACCATCCAGCTTCTGTATGGCCAAGGCAAGGACCAAGGCCTGACCTTAACCCTCCTTTCTGTCTGCACTTCCTCTCCCCTCAGGGACCCAGATGTTCTTCTCACATCCACTTGAGTTTGTTTCACAGCCCCTCTTTTCTTCCACTTCATGAAACTGTTCATTTGCCTGTGGGATAATAGCTGTTAAGGGTTCATTTCCTAAGAGAAAAACTTCTAGCATGCTTTGCATCTCCGGCCATCTACTCTTTGTAACCAACTCTCTCCTTGTTTTCCTTCTGCCTGTGTCCTCTGACCTCCCCTCACCCTTTCCCAGGTTCGATCCATTAGCACCAATGTCCGGAGAAACCTGGCCTTCCACACACTCACCCAGGAAGTCCTGCTCAAGGAGTTCTCCACTATCTCCTGAAGCTACGCTCATCTGAGCAGCCGCTGACTGCCCTTACCCATGAGGCTCTGAGCTGAAGGGGGAGTGAGGGGAGAGGGGCTGTCCCCCAGGTTGGAGAAAAGCAGACCCTCTCGGTGACGCCAGCACTTCAGTGGAACCTGGACAGCAGGGGCCAGGAGGGGAAGCCAGGGGTGATCTTACTTGGGGAGGGGTGGGTGGGCAGAGGGAAAGCCTTCAAGAATGAGGGAGTCCCAGGGTGGCTTTCCTGGATACCCTTCACATTTCCACTTGAGATTACACATTGTGCCTCCCAACAGGTTTTTAGGAGCTGTTGGTGTAGGCCTTGGGTGGTGCCAGCACCCTCGGGGGCATCAGTTTCCTTAGGCTTTTGAAAACATGAACTCTCAGACGAGTGGAACCACGTTCTGCTTCCTTTGGGCATGGAACCGAGTAGGCTTGAAATCTGTGTCCCTTTCCCCCTCTCGCATTCTGTCCAGTCTTTAGAACTTTAGCTCAGGCTTAGGGTAGGATAGGAATGGGGTTACCTGTTTTCTATTTTCTAAATCCAGAGCTAACTCCTAGGAGACCAGAAATTAGAATCCACCCAATGCTCCACTGCCCAGCCACCACCACTGCCCAGCCACCACTTTCTGGACTTCACTCCTAGCACAAGGAGTACTGTTAGCTATCCCCTGCCTTCCAGCCCATTGTCCATCCACACTGTAGGTCCACAACCATAACTTTTTATTTGCAGCCGGTTAAACTGTCTTTAGAATGTGTGTGTGAAATAAACATTGACAGGTTCTCTGGAGCCCTCAGGTGCCTACTTTGCTGGTTCCCTTCCAGCAGTTCTCTCACCTCCCTAGCTGCCCTCCTCTGGGAGCCTCTCCTGCCTCAGCTGAGCTCCCCTCCGAGTGTTCCACCCCCTCACGGCTGTTGTTTACATCCAGCCTGCTGGAGAATTTCCTCTGGGAGGAATCTGTTCCTGTTGTGGCCTGGTGCCTGGGAGGGCGCCTGCCATCTGAAAGAGGCCAGGTGAGCGAGAAGGAGAGGAGAGGAGCAGAGGCGTTCTTTCTACCTGCGTGAACAACAAGCAAGTCTCCTGACCTTCAGGAAGTTGGCTGTAGTACCCCCTGTCCACAGCCTGCATGGGAGACTGTAGACTTTTCCTACCTAGCTGCTGCCTCCCTTTGTAAAGCCCCAGGGGATGGCAGGGAACAAGCAGCATCATCGGATTGGAAGTATTTGGGAGTAAGTGCAGGCATCCAGCAGTGAGAGCGAGTGTGGGACCCACCCAGCTGCAATTCCACTCAGCCTCAGATCTCTTTGGGAAGACTTGCTCTTCTTGGGAACCAGGTTCTGGCCCCAGCACTGAGGTTGATACATAAGTTCCAGAGCCTCCACCAACATGCTGCCGTGTATAGATGTAGATATTTAAGAAATCAAGGGTTGGGTCACCTCTGATCACTAGATGGAGAGCTTAGCCTGGGCATTTAGTGTTTTTCACAGTGATAAACCCAGGGGAGCCAGAGCTGGTGGCAAGTTTGAAGTCATTAAAAATTTATTTGTATGGGGCAGTCTTTTTAGTGTCTTTTTTTCCCTCTTAATCTGTTACCCAAAATTCATTTCTCAAAGACAGAGTTAATATAGTTTTCTATGTACTGATCCCTTCTGGCTAGAGGACCCTGCCTGTCTTTACAGGTTCTCTTCTTGAGTCTGGCCTTAGTGAAGGCCAGTGTAAGCCAGAGAGTTGTAGCCTTCCCTTGTCTTCTCTTACCTCCAAAGCAGGTATTGAGCAGGCCAGCCAGCTCACTTGGTCTGCTTTGGATTCCTGCCAGCCTTTCCTATGAAATGAACAAGGGCAGGTCTAGGGCATGAGGCCATAAACAGAAGATTCCTTCTATAAATGCCCATTTCCTGGCCCATGTATACACTTATCCTAAGGACTTCAGTCAGGAGTTGCATCCTGTCCTATAAATCAGCCCCAGAAGAAGTTGTCCAGACTTTGTCCATGCCTCAGAGTCCAAGCCAAGGAGAGTCCAAGCCAGGAGTTAGCTGGGTGTTGCTCTAAAAGACCATCTTTTCCTTGCCTGAATTCACGCCTGAACTCCCACCACAATTCCTACTGGGTAATTGAATCAAGTGACTGGAAGTTAAACCCAATTGAAGAGATTAAGTGTGCAGGGGTCACTTTAGCTGAAGCTTTCAGTCTCAGCAGGCCACTCCTTCAAAGATGCAGTTGTTGGGCAGGCAAAACTACCTGGGACTTTGTCACCAGGCCATCCAGAACCTCCTTGTTGTGGAGGGGGTGGGTCTTTTAGGTTAGGAGCCCAGAAAGCATTTGGAAAAGGTCAGAGAAGTAGGCTCAGTCATTCAGCTCCTGTTCCAGGAGCCTGAGATAGCCCAGCTCTGTGCCAGTCCCTGGCCTCAGAAAAGCAGCTAATCAGTGAACAGGAACCTCAGAAGAAGGGGCATTGCCACCCATCCTTCCTCACCTGGACTCCCAAGGCTTCAGTCACTCCACAAATCTTCTGGAAAACAGGACTCCAGAGCATGAGAGAGAAAAGCAAGAATGCTGAAAGAAAAAAATTTAGAAGAATAAAAGAGCAAGACCATCTTGAGAAACAGACCTGGTTCTCTTTTCTTCCCAGTCGACAATGGAGGACATTCCAACAGGGAAGAAGGCACCCTGAGAATGACTAGGGCCCAGAGCCAGGGTGTTGGAAGTGGGTGTGGGTCCCAACCCTGTTGGAGAAGAGAAAATTGTGGTGCACTGGCCTGAAATCTGCCTGTATCAGAGACAGGTTGGCTAGTTCCTCCTAGCCGAGTGGGTCCTGGGGTGGAGTGGAGGTGTGCTCACAGGGCAGCGAACAGGGAAAACGGGACTGAGTGGAGACTGACAGAACTGGGGGATCTGAAGACATACCCTCTTGGCGCTTACTCGGAGGAGGAGTGCTTAAAAATTGGGGGTGGGGTTTCCTCACTGTGGGAGCCTTTCTGGCCTTACTCCCTTCTCCCCTAAGACCCACGGATTCTTGCTTTGAGGGTAGTGTTGCCTGAGAGTCAGTCTTCCTCCCCGCACTTCCCAGCTCACCCTTTCACCGGGTGCCTTCCGCGAGCTGTGCAAAGAGGAGGGGGCGGGGGAGGGGGAGCCAATCCCGGCAGCGCCAAAGGGGGGAGGCGGCGGTGACAGTCGCGGGGAGGGGGCGGGAGCAGAGGCAGCTCGGCTCTGCTCCACGTTCAGCTCCGCTCTGCCTCCAGCTCTGCATTCACCTACTGCCCAGGCCTCTCGCTCCTGCCCCAGGACTCCCTGGTGGGTCCTAGACCCCCGGCCCTGACCCCGACTCTTTGCCCAGTCCGGACTATTGCGGCCCCCAACCCCAGCAGCGCTCTGCGCCGCCAGGGGGCGCCCTGTGAGCGCCCTATCCCGGCCTCCCGGCGCCCCCTCCCACGGCCCGAGCGGGACGGGAGGGGGGCGCCGGGGGCCATGCGGGGCCAGGGTCGCAAGGAGAGTTTGTCCGATTCCCGAGACTTGGACGGATCCTACGACCAGCTCACGGGTGAGTCGGGTGAATCGGTGGCTCAGGGGTCTCAGGAGGGAGGGCAGACTCCACCACCCCACACTCACACGCCCCCTTACTCCTCTCTGACCCCTGCCAGGCCTTTGCCCGCACTCTGCCCCCTTCCCAGGCACCCTCGTCACTATTCTGGGACAAGACACTGGGATGCTAAGCCTTGGGTCACAGGGTGTGGTAGGGGGGAGTGGAGGGGAGCAGGCAGGGCAGGTGGAGAGAGGCAGCAGGTGTGGGCGAGTGTGACAGAGGCTGGGAGGGTGTCTGGAGTGGGAGGTGTTACGTGCATGAGCACCTGTCATTCTTTGTGTGTATCGTGTGTGCACCTCCAAGAGCTGGTTGCCATGTGCCCTGTGCTTAGTGACAGGATGAGTGTGAGTGTGCAAGTGTATGGTTTTTGTCAGCTGTTTGAGGTCATATCTGACCTTGCCTGTACCAGTGAAGTTGTTTTGCCTATGTCTCTGTTCAATGTGCAGCTTCTGTATAAAGTGGCATATGGCTCCCAGATTGTGGCGGGCTTCACTTTATGGTGGTATGTCTCTTTGTGAACATCCTGGGACAAGAATTTGTTAAAGTGAGTCGTGTTGTGTTTTGTGACCCTACGGCTATGTGTGCTCTATTTGGTGTTGTGTACTTTCACGTGGTAACGTCTGCAGTGAGGCTCTGAGTGTCTGTGACGTCCCTGGCCCTTGCTGCCTCTCTGGCTTCCTGCATTGCACTGCCTCCTCACGTTTTCCATAAGTAGCCTAGCTGGCTCTCTAGTGTCCAGCTGCCCAGCCTAGCTCTCAGGAGCAGCTCCCAACCTAAGTCCCTGACACCTCTGGGGAGACTAGTTATGTCTGGGGCAGTCTCTTCCCCCACAGTGCTCAGAGATCGTTCTTACACCTGAGGTTTCTTCCATCTCCAACAACACCCCCACCGCCACCACCACGAACTTCATAAAAACCTTTTGCCTCCTCTGCAGACACAGAGATAGAAGCTCTAGGCTGGGAGGTACCATGTGGCCTCTACTTAGGTCCCCCCAAACCATTTTGCTGCCCAGGCAGCCTCTCTCTCCCACATTGGGGAGTTATGTGAGAGCAGTACATCTGTGCCTGTGCATATTCCTGGGTTTGGTAGGCAGATCCATGTGTGTGTGTGGGTGACTGTGTCACCTTGTGTACATTTCCATGTACGTGTTTGTGTCTCATCATGCAGCCTACCGAAAAACTCCAACAGAGAATGGGAGGAGGGATGCTGTCTCCCTTGGGTCTGGAACAGACTGGGGAGAAGGATGGAAGCTGTGATCCTTGTAAGCCCTGAGGAGAGTATGGTTACTTCTGGGAGTGGAGGAGAGGACGAGGCCATGAAGTGCTAGAAGTAGTTCCCAGTCCCTGACTCTGGATGTCCTAGCCCTACACCAACAGCCTCAGAAGGGGGCGCACTCTGGCAGGAACAGATGTAGGGGAGTGACAAATGTGCCCTAGATGAGCCTCAGGAAGACCTTGATGGAATCCAAATGTCCAGTTGTCTAGCTGTGCTATGAACTCCATTCACACCACCAGCTCAATCAAGATCCTCGAGAGTATGAAGACCGCAGGGCCTTCATTAGCACCACATTGTTGGGGACTGCCTCCTGCTTTAGTTGAGATTCCCCATTAGTGGACTCGTCTGCTCCCCGGTGTAGCTATTTGACATCAGAGATCTCACCAAATCAGAGGTTTAGCTGAAGGTGGGGAAGCACTGGAAGGTGGTGCAGAAATGGACGCGTGAGTTCCAGCTATGTGTGGCTTTAACCCTCTGGGCCTCACTTTTCTCATCTGTAAAATGCAGGATACTACTTCCTACTTGCCTGTTTTCCTAGGAAAATGTTGACAAGTGTTGAGAAAGGCGGCACGCCATCATCATCCTCACTGTAGAAAGCTCCACACACGACTTGGAAAGTAGAAATAGCACTACCAGGAACTCTCATTTCAAAAGAAAACTGATAGCGGGAGACTAGCGACGCTGGGACGCCTGTGTAGTCTCGGCCCTCGCGGCACTTAAGCGTTCCGGGGTTCTGGAGCTGAAGCGCGGAGGGGAGTCGTTGTCCACGGTGCTGAAGAGTGTGTCGGGCGGTGGTGCGGGGGAACCATCCAGAGCTGACGGGACGCCTGAGCTCACTGGGCAGGAGTGTTGTGCTGCTGTCATCCCAGCCCATCAAACTGTCAGGGAGGGTGCCCTAAAGTTAGCAACTCAGGCCATCCTGGTCGCCCTCAACTGCTCTCCTTCCCCAATTCCACCCTAGACTCAAAGCCAGGGAAAACTTTCTAGGAAGGAAACAGCTGAGCCCCACCACAGTCCGCCTCTACGCGTGGCAGCCCTCCCAGCCCGCCAGGGCCGTTTGGCAGTGCGGTGGGATGGCAAAAGTCAGTGATCAGCTGTGGTGCTATCCGAGTCAGGATTAGTTTCGATGTGGGGAGAGCTTGAGCCCTGATAGCCAAGGCTAGAGTGCTCGCTCTCCCGGCTTGGGCTCTCCACGGTCGCGTTCCTCCGGCCATAAACACCGTTCCCCGGAGTAGGGCGCCCTCGTGTGGCCGTAGTGAAGCCATGCTTGCGGATCTGACTGGGAATGGGGGTGCCATCAAACCCAGTGGCAAGATTGGCGTGTTGAGAGGTTACCTGACCTCATAAATGTAGAGTTATCAGCCACATGTAGAGGCTTCAATCGGAGATGTAGGAGTTGCCTCTCCTGTAGACTTTCGCAGGCGTTTGAAGGCATTGACGAGTCTTGGGAGGGGTTCCCCCAGATCTAGCCTGATATACGAGGAGTCCGGGAAAGAGCCGGGACTGAGGGAAGAAGGGCTTCCCCTTGATGCCTTTGGCTGGCAGAAGCCTATGCCCGGAGTCTGTTGAACTCCCAGGACAGAGAGAAACAAACGGCAACAGTTATAAAAGAAAGGGATTCGGAACCAGGAAACAGACCTGTGAGCCACATCCCTGCCGCCGCCTCTTCTTTGCGGCTCCAAGAGCGGCCAATTCCTCCTCCTCCTCCTCGCTTCTGCTCTCC